GTGACTCCCTGCGCTTCTTAAGCCTTCGGCGACCATCACTGCGCGAGCGCAGAAACCGAGCTCGGGAGGAGTGAAGCGTGTGAGCATGCACAGTGCCGACGGCAGCGCCACCGCAGTAGCGTGACGTTAGAGAGTTCAGTCGGTCTATAATCGTGGACAGCCAAAGAGCTGCAAGAAATGCGGGGCGAGGCCTATTGATGACCGCTCTTCTTGCTTCGTAATTCATTATATCGTTTTCTTATTCAGCTGATGCCGCAATGCGATTGGCAGTAGAGGAATAACAGGGTGCCTGGGACGCGCCTCGCCCTGCGTTCCTTAAACTGTCGGCAAGGGGGTAGTATCTCAAATCTTTTTTTTTTTTCCGTAACCATTTACCGCAATCAATTTGACCTTTGACCTCGCTTCTTTCGTATACGAGCCGCCACCTTACCTAACGACGACCAAAAGTCGAAAGCACGGCGTGTCCTAAATCAGACCAGATGTTGCCACGATCCCCGCCCCCTCCTCTTTCTCCTCCAGGATCGCTCGGAGCCGCACCCCGTTTGATTGCGACAAAAAACTCCATTCGGAGGAACAGCCGAGCACTCTGATTGCTGCGCCAGCGCCTATTTTGTACGCTTCGTCCCGCCTAAGCCAGTCGGAACGCACTTCTTGCACCGAGGAATGACCCAAATGACTGTACCGGATTAGGGGACACGTTGCGACATTGGGGTAATCTAACAGAGAGAATTCGGACGGACCCAGCAGAGAATTAGGAACCCTCTATGTCGTGTTGTGTGTCGTTGCAGAGGATATTGCTGAGGACGCGCACTAGAGCGATTAACTTTCCGGCTAATATGAAAAGCGATTCTTGAGGACAACCTCGGGTGAGAACGATGGCTGGGGCGTGATATCTGAATTTCTTTCTTTTACGTTTGGTATTAGCCTGTATTGCTGACAACTAGCACTTTTAAGCCGGGGGCACATTGCTCGTACATCATAAAACAGACAGCCTGCATACAGATTCGAATGCTTCGAATACTGCGGGATGAGGACGATTCCTCCCTGCGCACTCGTCGCAGGCCGACTAGGGACAGGATAATTCGTCTCATAGGAACATTCGTCGTTGGGCGACCCGTCCATTGGACAGTTTGATAGCGCAGGGAAGAATATAATAATCTACAGATCGCAATTTTTAGTAACTAGCTATGTTCTCTGACGAGTGTGCAGTTAGAACAATAGAACGGGATGCTTTATTAAAAACCAAGATGCATGTAAATGTATTCAATGTTGCATAAGGGGCTCCGCATGGCTATCCTTCAGTCAGTCTCGCCCCGGCGTTCGACTCTGCTGTTACGTCGAGTTCGTCGAGGCCCGCGACGCCCTGCTGTTATCTCCTGTTTCATTTTTATTTTTGGGCACAAGTTGGCCCCATTAAGCGTTTCAGTTTCCCCCAGTTATTCTTTGTTTCTTCGCCTGTTCCTTCGTGACAATATTATTACCAATCAACTTGCCTCAAGAGAGAAATTATTTCTTTTTCCGCACTATACTGGCAAAGGCGTTAGAAACACAGGATGCAGTGAGCTTTGCTCCGGATCAGCTCGTTCCGTATTTCATGCAAGGGAGGAACGAACATCGTCTTGCATAAGCTGCTCTGACAGAACGCCCCGTCAAACGCCAGCGTCCCTGCAGGAAGAAAACGCGAAATTCGCGTTTCTTGTAGTCACACACCCAAATTTGAACCCTGCTATTTCGCTTCTGTCTTTTTCCTCCAAAGTACGTGCGTGTTATCTTGGCCCTGCTCTCGTGCGCGCTCTCCCACCGTTTGTGCGACCCCATTCGCTCAACACCTCGCAACTAATGGCGAATTCGGGTGGTCCATCGTCGACAATCTATTTTGCCGGAAAACCGGAAATAGTGTTCGCATGGCCCGTTTCCGGCTGGCGCGCACCGTTCGGGTGTTGGTACTACGCCAAGCATTGGCAGCTTTCCGGCGCTTTTTCCGCCCGAGCTCCGAACTGCGGGGCGTGCGGGCAACAGACTGTATCCGGTGTCGTCACATCCGAAATGGGAGAGGACGTCGGTGAAAGAATGAGACTGATCTGAAGTCAATTCAGCAGCCATTATACTCGAGTCAATCCAAGCCGCTGGGACAATACCACAAGGAAAATGGAGGACATGGCTGACGGCGGCGACAGTCTATCGCTTAGTTCGCATCGTCGATGCTGTAATGGTAACAAATTTGTTACTTTTTGAAGAGACAGTGATAGTGACAAAGCATAAAAGGACGTTATTTTGTTTGAAACAGCCTTCAGTTATATCTTTTTTTCTGCTCCTGAGCCCAGGCCGAATATTGAGTACATCATACACGTCAGGTGTGACGGTTCTATTCATATCTGTCATCCAAGCTATACTCTAATCCAAGCGTTGAATCGGCGGAATTCACGTTTTTCTTACGGATGTTTACAACCGACCCAAAACAAGCGCTTGAAAGAATGCCTGTACTTTTGGCTCAGTAGCATTATTAGGTGATAACGTGCGCCACCTAGGCATAAGCAAAGAAAATAGATAAAAAAACGCGCGGTGTCTCGCGGTCAAGCGGCGAAGTAAACTTCCACTGTCTGACCTTTCATGTTCGGCTGCTGAGGGTCACGGGGTTGTGCCGCCGGCGCGTTTCTGGTTTCCCGTGCCGCCCGTTTTGTCACGCCGACGATTGACCACCCGAATTCACGGTAACAAGGCAGCCGTGCTAGATTTTTGTTTATGGAACGCAGATTGGCCCCGAGTACTGCATCGAGCTTTTGAATGCAACTCATGCTCATTCAGTGAGGACGTGCGTTCCAGCAGAACTTTGGCGCAGCACTCATGTAACGCCCTTTCGCTACAGGAGTGCGTTGTGGAAAGTGGCATGAAGCCAGCCATAAAAAAAAGGGTGTGTTGACACAAATGTGACCCCTAAGTTCATGGCCAGGTGTACATAGACAACTATAATGTTATGTCATTTCACCTTTCTCCGCTCGGTAATGTACACGCTGTTCCTAAGTATAAATGACATGTTTTTTTTTTGTTTTTGTTTTTTTGCCGCAAGAATAAACTATCCATTGACGAACGACCATTTTACCGCCCAAATATAGCGCTACCGGTTTAAATCAGATGTCAAAGTTTCGACACTAAACGTTATCTTATTGGCAAAGTATAGGATTTTTTCTTTTCATATTGCATAGGAATTTCGCGACCGGTATGGCTTGGCAGTGCCTAATTAATTTATGCAGTAAAAACAAAAACAAAAAAACTGTAATCTTTTTGTAACACGTTGTAGATTGTTTGAAGGTGCGGTACTACGACTTACTTTTTTTTTTTTGCTTCGTTCACAGAAATCATAGACCCTGCGTGCATGGAAATTGTCGAACTTGAAATATGTGGGATTGTGGAATTATAACGTAGCATAAAAATAACATATTTTAACTAAGTTCCAGACTCCCCGCTATAAACATAACAAGAATTACGACTTTAGAGTTGTTGTTGTTTGTTTTGTTTTTGAAAACGCGTTACTTTATTTATTATCTCAGCGTTCGATGCCTTTTCCCTCACGAGTGCTGTCACTTTTGATGCATTCATGCTAGAGTACAGATAATTACCGAATAGACCATTTTCTACAGTGCGCGCGTTCAAGCACCTTCCGAACCGACCAATATAGGAGGAAATAACTTTAGTAAAAAAAAATAAAGAGAAAAATATATTTGTTATAGGTGGGGCCCCTAGTCTAGGGCTCCTGTGCTTTCCATCGCCATTTTCGATCTGTACCTAAATCACCGAAGCAACAATGAGAATGCTAAAAATATAAGTCCACGCGCCGCGCATGCTCGCTTTGCTTCTATAAAAAATTCGCAAGTAAATAAAGCGTTGACAAGCGCGCGTGCAAGATGAAATTATTTTTAGGCGTTTGTTTTAGATGCAGTTACTATAAGGAGTATTCACTGGACGCCATATATGTGGGTGCTGTTTAGAGCGCATGCTCAGAAGGAACTCACATAAAGAGGTTGCTAGACCGGCAATCTTGATGGTGTGGAATGCACGTTGCAAAATAACTGTGGAAGCTCGCCATCAGCACGCGCTCAGCAGTCGCGCACACGGCTATGGCCGCCAGTGAATACTCCCTATACTACAAACGCCAGCACGCGCAGCGTGTGTAACTACATTCGCGGCACGGTCCGTGGTGCTTGGGTAATAGACCGATCTCACCAGCCAGTTTGACTACGCCACCGCTGCCGCAATGCAGCGAGGGAACTTTAGTCTTTCTGCACGTGCGACAACCTCCCTGGAGCTCTTCACGTGTAGAGCTCGAGAAGGCACGAGCCCTCGCGTGCACGGCCGTCTGCCTCCTGTGAACTAAAGTTATGGCGGCTTTACGCATGCCCCCAACGCTTAGTGAGATCGGTCTATTTAGCAAAAGGTTTATTATCCCAGTCCCCCTTCCTTTAATCAAGACTGGATTGCACACTTGCGACTACTTATGACCGAAGAGGCTGAACACCGGTTCTAATTAAGCCACTTGTGACCGCTCGAAATTGGCAGCGCTGCTGCGCAACCGTTCGTAAGCAGCCAAAAGAAGCTTGTGTGCGAATCAGCCTTGAGCGCCCATTTTGTTGTACACGAGGGCTGCAGCACTTTTAGCATGAGCTCGCCTCATGCTAAAAGTGCATCCGCATCCTGGACGAGTGCTACGTCAGGGTTCGGCAAAGTCTTGGATCCAGTCATAGGCTTTGTGCCCAGGATGGATAGAATGATGCTAACAGTTGTACCTTTTATAACGGGCGGTAGCTTGCGCCTTCTAGGCTAGAAATTACGATTCAAAAGTATGATTCCTTTTTTTCGCCAATTTGCTCATATCGATGCAATTTCGTAACTGAAAGTCACGACTGCCACTGTTGCTTGAAGGGGTTTTAAAAAAAGGTTCGCGCTCTTTGTCAATGTTTCTTTCTTAATGTTTCCGTTTTCATTCTTTTTTTTTTTTCATGCAGCGAGACCCTTGCGTTTGCCACTGAACCCGTGCTTGGCAGCCTGGCAAATATCCTAAGCTGCCTAGAAGACAGACTGCCCCAGTGCCTGCCACCCGAAGTCCGAGACTACCAGTTTCTCGACATCGAGATCAAATATGGACTCCTACAGGTGAGCACCCTGATTTGGTCACCTTCGACCTTAATCTATCGGATTGCTGCGAAACAGCGTCAAACACATTTACGTATGACGTGCATTGTGAGTACATTTACAGTAATGTCGGATTGATAAGGACACCCTTACTATGAGTACCCCGCTACACCATAAACAAAGTTGCCGGGGACAAATCAGGTAAATGCATAAATATAAACACTTCTTTTTGTGTGTGTGTGTGGGGGGGGGGGGGGGGGGGGGACAGAGGTGTCCCTAAAAACTAGTCATCGCTGCACCGTGATGCCTCGTAATATGGACAACTCCGTCCCCCCCAAAAGATTTTGCAGAGTGTGAGTTGTCCATAATAACGAGATAGACATGTGTGTATTTACCCGATTGGTCCCTGAAAACTGTGTCAGTAGGGGTCCCCTTTAACGAGACATAACAGTGATGTATTTAGAGTGTGTACGTGCATGCATGATAAAAAAATACCCGGAACTCAAAATAATAAAAATGTTCTGTTGAATGCTGAACGCCTTAAAACAAAATCCACCTCTCCTTAAAAAATAATACATTAACATAAATATTTACGATGCGGGACACATTTTTAATTAAAGGCAATTGGGATATTTCGGAACGTGGACTCGAAATAGAAGCATGTGCCGGAATCGCTCCTAGAGACACAAAACTTCCAAAAGAGAGCGTTTTAAGTGTTTGAATTGCAGCATAAAATAGTAGTTAAAATAAACTTTTTTTTTTTTTGTAGCAGTTGTAGCATTGTGGGATTGATAGCGAGTAAAAGCGTTACCAATAAATGCTTCTATTTGGGCACGCGTAGTTTTGAAAGACAAGCACTAAATAATAGCACGTTGCAATTATCAAAATAAGTTTCGCCAACCTTTTTCTTTTTCTAATGCTTTGTTGTTGCTGTTGTTGTACTCAAGTGTTATATACGATCATTAAGAAAAATACATTTTTGCTAAGTTCAGTGTGCCTTAATGATATATGTGCACGGTAACCCACTTCAATATTAGGTGTCCTGCGTTTGTTAAGGAAGATAGCATCTAGTATCCCCGTCAGTAATATTGTTGGGCCTAGAATTGGGCCTTAGCCGTAATAGGCTGGCACAGGTCTACATATTATGAGCTCGTGTGAATGAAGTCTCGTAAATATATTATTACAGTTATTGATTATGTCTTTATTGAAAGGTGTCCACTGACATCGGAGGAAGAAGGAAAGGGGGGGGGGGGGTGAAGGGGAAAGGGAGGTAGTGGGAACTTTCGCGATTAGATAGTCTAGACTCTAGTTGTATGGCTGCCGCGACAAATTCGAGCAGCGAGCCCAAGACCGGTTTTCGGTGCTACGGCGCGTCCCTCAGATGCGTCCAGTCCCGAAGAGAGCTCAGGAGCAGCTTGGAGGGTAGTTTCCCGATCGCTTCTTCCCGCGTCCGGCTCAGTTCCCTGCAGTACCATAAGAGGTGTGTGCTTGTGGCTCGTTGCCCACTTACGTATCGACTGCCGGATCCGCCTTCAGCGTTTTCTTTTTTGTCGCTGTTTTTCAGTTTATATCTCTTAAATTCGGTTGGAATTGCCGGGGAGACCGTCGTTCCGGTTCAGTGTCTCCGTAGATGGCACGCGGTAGCCCAAGGACCATATCCGTTCGGTAGTGGGGCATCGTCTTCCGCAAGTACATTAGGCAGGAGCCCTTCCTTCTCGATGTGGTCAAAGGACAATTTCTCTTCCCAGTTCGACTCCTTGTGGTCATCGAAGTGCTTTCGGGTTCTTTTTGGCGGAGGGTAGCCGAAGTTCGCGCTCCCGCGCGGCCTCGTGCACGCTTTTGTTTTATGTCCCGGGACGCAGGAGACGATTACTTTGACTCCTCTGTATCTTAGGGTCGTCGCTCTTACCCTCACCTTACTTGCCGCCTTGCGGGGGGGTCCTGCTTCCGGCACGAGACCACGGCGTTTTTAAACTCCGTGTACATGCGTAAATATCTTGAGCCCCCGGGGACTAGAGACTCGGTTTCCACGAAGCGACTTTAAAAGCTCGAATTTCCTCTTCTTCGGTTACGTGTTTCTTCCGAATCGCAAACCTCGCCTTGTACTGCGTGTTGAGGCAATGTCATGTAATGGATGTTCCTCCTCCGTCTTCCTCGACTATTGTTTCGGTGTGAACGTGTACCGTTTGCCACCCGGGCCAGGCGTCGCGAACGGAATCCGCGTGCGTCTTGGACGCGTTGTTCCTCCTGTTTTTTTAATTTATGTTTGTTCACGTTTTGATTTATGGGGTGGGTGATCCACCACTGCTTCGTCCTCTCATGGGGGTGAGTGGATCGAGATTGCGGTGCGTCCAGTAATAGCATAAAGAAGCCTATACATTTTCCCCTGGCACGGAACAAAAGAAAAACAAAAGGAGTAGATATTCTTTAGGGTGCATTGCAGCATTTATCTGTTCCCGAAAGCAATATTTAAAACGCATATATACTAAATGGGAATAGGTAACAAATTTCAGTTTCTTTTTTCGTTAAGAGTTCGATAAACAGCTCTTTTGAAACTTAGAATTGTGGTTTTTAAATGCGGTTCTTGTTGCTTTCTTATGGTCATGCCGCTTTTGAAGTATTGTCACTTTGTGAACTAAACTGCTTATTTTGGTAGCAAATATTTGTATTCACTTTTTTGTATCACGCTGAAGCTACCAGTTAACACTAAGTGCTGGTATCATTCTTTCAGACCGTTTTATTCGCTCAACCATTTCAGCGTTTGCTTTACTAGCTCTCAATATTTATGTATTGCCTTGAAGGGTGGTCCGGTGATTCTTTTGTAGTCCCTGGTTTGCCTGAAAATTTGTTAAACACACCAAAAACACCCCTAAAATGGTAACCCAAATATTGGGCCAAAATAAATATTTTTCGCGAAGTTATCGAATTCACACTTCTGGTTCCCACCGTGTTCTCCAAAATAAAATTTTCTTCTCGCAACATTGACGAAGTGACATCAGCAAAAGGCAGGGGTTCGCCACGTTGACAGTAGACTTTTTTTCCCAACTGATTACAAGCAGTTTGAAGGTATCAAATGAATGCTTTTGAAGCTCGCTCCAGTGCCTGCGCAGCAGCATGAAAGAAGTGCTCGGCATTGTCTATTTTTCGACTGCCCGTTCGACCACTGACGTCAAGGCACTGAAAATCCCGGGTATATTTGAATGTTAGTTTTTGGCATAATTTTCACTTGCTTATTTCAGCGCAACTATTCAGAATTTCGGGATACGAAACTTTCGACTTTCCGGCCGCGACGACCTTGGCGAGAGAGGACAGATGGGGGCCCCGAAAGCTTCTAGAATCGTGGTTTCTTCGCAGGGGGTGTAGGCCCGTTTGTCATGTGCGCATTCGTCATAGGCCAACTGGTAATAGGCCCGTTCGTCACAGAGGAAGATTCGTCATAGGGGAATTTGTCCCCAGGAACGTTAGTCACTGTGCGAACCGGATATTTGAATTTGCCCAACATATATTCACCTGGCTGTGCATGCAGTAAAGATTAGTACGGTATATTTAATTTTACTAAAGAGAGGGAACATCCAAACAAGTCATCGTTGTACTTAGAAAACAACAGATTTATTGAGCGAAATAAAAAAAAAAAAAAATTGAAAAGCGATATTCCGAGCTGCCACCCTCAGGTTTTCTAGACGATTGCGACCACTGTAGCGGCTCACAATGATTTGAAGACGCCGGTTGCTGTTGTCGTGCTTCTTGGACATACTCGAAGATGTCGTGCCGCCCTCTGCTTGAGCCAGCTTCATCTATGTTAAGGATAAAAAGAAAAAATAACACACAAACTCGTGGAGAAAGCTTTTTGAGTGGGCACCGTACTGAAATTTTGAGCCAAAAATGCAAAAATGTACTACAGAAAGCGTCCAAGTTTTCAGAAGATTAGGTCAGTTCTTACGTGCCGTCCCCAGAGCCACGATTCGATGCTGTTGTTCGTCCTTGTTGGCCTTTCTGCTGGCGTTGATTATCTGACTGACCAAACCAGAGGAGGGGAGGTGGCCGACGACAAGCCGTTTCGACGGAGTCTCCCGATATACAAGTCCTCGAAGTAGACCGCCACGAGTGAGGCATCGGTGGGGAAAACCTCGAGAAGTTCCTTGAAGGCCTCGGGAATGTCGGCGATTGGCAAGAAGGCCAATGCTGGATGCATTCCCATTTGAAAATCAACAAGAAATAAAGTAACCAATTGGCTTACCTAAAGACAACAATGAGACATATAAATACAATGCCGCATACCAGAATAGCAAACTCGTCATCTGAATTGTAGCGACTCTGGTGACCACTGGAGCACACCTTCCTATACACCAACTGGAATAAGCGACAAAAGCATCCCTGTATCGTTGATGGCCGCTATCTTGAAGTCCGTGTAAGCCACCTCAAGGCAGTTGGCCCCCCATGTGACTCAGAACGACGTCGAAAAACCTTAAAACGAGCGAACATATTTTGAAGTGTTTGAACACATATCCCATAATAGGACCACTGAGCGTTTCGTTTTATACGTTTATCAGAGCCCTTGAATGCTCACCTTTTGTAGGTAGCTTCAGATTTGTTGGGCAGCAAGCCGTAAACCATTGGCTTTACCACGCCGTTGACTGTGGCATGCTCTGTGTACAGTTAGTAGAACTGTGCCGGGGTCCCTTTAAAGGTCCCGTCCGCGAACCACGTATAGTCGCCTGAGCCAGACAGCTCAAGTTGCGATCGGTAGCAAAGATCAGGATTCTTTCGCCGTCGCCCTCTCCGCTATCGTGGAGGAGAAAGGAGTCTCCTTTGGCTGTGGTCTGCATGCAGGTAAAACAGTCATTATTATCATAATATGTCGCGCACAGTGATTTTGCGCTCCAATACAATTTACTCTGAACTCTGTGGGCATTCGATCGTATGTCGGCTCTGCAAGATGATATATGCTGTACTCGAAATTCGCCCGCTGCCTTTGCTTCCGGATGGTGCGCCGAAGTGTTGGCGGTGCGTGAATCTGCAAA